TTGTGTGACATATATCTAATGCTAACCGATAATGATTGATTTAATTTATTGTTCTAAAGCAAAAGGTTATAATAGTCTAAAGCTTATATTTACCCTTGAATTATCAGGCTAAAAAAATTTCATCATTAGCAGAAGGACAGTTTTTTTTCTTTTTGAATCTGACCTTGAGATTGAATTGCGCAGCAAAGTTTTTTTTTATTATCTATTTATTATTGTATGTAATTGCATTTGAAATAAATTAATTTATGCGCAGATTATGCCATATACCGCATCTACGCTATCTGCTCACTCTAAAACTATTGTCTCCGCAAGATAAACGTGACTTTAATCATTCTTTAAATGTAAAATAATAGCATGAGATTTATGCACCGCAGAATTCTGGACACTAGTTGACCCTGATTCAGGGTCAACTTTATTTAATAGAATAAAATTTTATGCATGATCAGATATACTGCACATATTCTAGATTTTCGAATTTTTTATTTAAACTTTCTCGGTATTTTACATAACGATAATCAATCTAAGAATTTGAGAATGCATTTAGGGAGGATGCTTCTCTGTATAAAAAGACTTGTTCTAATTTTGAACAAATATAAAAATAAAAATAAATAAATAAAATAATAGCGATAGCGATAATGGTTTTTTTTTTAAGGTGTCTGGTTTCGGTTATGACCTTACTCAAGTGAAACATGTGTTTGGCGTGATTGGCGTGTGTATGTTTGCTGTTGGAGATTGTGGAACGATAGTATTTGTAAATCAAATTTGTAATATTAGTAATATTAATAATTATAAAGTAACAAGTATTCAAAAATTATACAGTTATATATCAATTATAATTTGTGTGACATATATCTAATGCTAACCGATAATGATTGATTTAATTTATTGTTCTAAAGCAAAAGGTTATAATAGTCAAAAGCTTTATGACGATATTACACATATAAAGTACGTACATACGCAATTCGAGTTCTGAAATATTTTTGAAGTTGAAAGAGAAAAAAATTGTTAAAGAAAAAAATTGTTAAGGAAAAAAAAACGATCGATTTTTTTCGAAAACTTGATTATTAGCATTAATGTCTTCGCCACCTATAATATTTGTTGATGATTATGACTTTAACATTGCTAATGATAATAATGATACCATAAATTCAACTAATCCTTTATTACCATCCACTTTTAATAGTAATGTAAGACTTTCATCATCTTATCGTTGGTTGATCTTATTAGGATTTTCTTTACTTACATTTGCTTCAGCATGTTTATGGATAACGTTCGCTCCATGTTTATACATTTTCATGTCTTATTTTTCCCAATCTCCTTCTAGTATAAATTCTTTATCATCTGTTTACATGATAATGTATCCAATTTTATTAATTCCTTCTATAAACTTTTTTAATACTTATGGAATAAAATTTAGTGTAATTTTTGGTGCATTTTTAAATTCTTTGGGTGCTTTCTTTAGATTTTTAGGTTCATTAAATAGATCATATATAGGATTTTGGATTTTATTTTTAGGTCAAGCTATAGCTTCAATTGCTCAACTTTTTATGTTAAGTGTACCTCCAAAATTAGCGAATATTTGGTTTTCTCAATTTGGTGAACAAAATTTTGCTACTTCTGTTGGTATTACTGCTAATAGCGCTGGCGTCGCTGCTGGGTATGTGTTTTATTTAATTATCTTTTTTTAGTGAATGAATTAACTGATATGGATTGTATCATAAAATGATACAAAAAAAAAAATTTCCCTTATATGGTTAATTTAATTTTATTTTTGCTACGTACGTACGTATTAACGTTAAAAAAAAAATATATGTTAGATTTTTATTATCTCCGTGGATGATTAAAGAAAAGACGGCAAATCGCGATATACCAAATTATCTTTTATTACAATTCATTGTTTGTGTAGCGATTTATTTATTTTTGGTATTTACCTTTAAGTCTTCACCGGATACACGCATAAATGGGTAATGATAGCCTATTATTCAATTCACTCGAGAATAAAAAAAAATTTTTTTTAATTGCAATGTTATCGAATATAGGAGAACGAGGCCATTATCAACAAACGATACTAATATCAGTTACTACTTAAGTGATAAACTGTTCATGATATTAACGATATCTTATGGAATTGTTACCGGTGGTGAATATGCTCTAAGCACTCTATTATCTCAAATGATATTGCCCGTGTTTGAGAAGTTTGACGAGGTAATTATTACTAATTATCAAAAGAAAAATGATGAAAAAGGCACTATGTGCACACATCACTAATTCTTTTATTATTATCATCATTAAACAATCAGCTACATTACTTTTCGCTAATCTTCAACTATGTATTTTAATAAAGTCAACGGTTGGATTTTTAGGCTTCTTAATAGTAATTGCCGGAATGATTGGATCTCTAGTAATCGGAATATATTTGGATCGCACTTTGGCTTATGAATCTACTTGTCGGTGGTTATATGTTGGAGCTATTATATCTTTAGGACTATTTAATATCGCGTTAAAATATGAGATGGCGGAGTTGGTGTTTTTTTCAAGGTTGGTTCTTTCTTGAAGTTTATCTATTTGGGCATGCTATAAATAAAATGATTTACAAAAATAAATATTACGTTCATTTATTTATTAACATTTAATATAGCTTATTATTTGGTATATTTTCATTCGGTAAGATATATATCCATATTTTTTTCTTATCAATATATCCGATTTATTATGAATGATAATTATTAATGTCTATAACCTTTTTTTAGCAATAGCGCCAACGGTATGTCAATACGCTACAATA